TATTTCAAACAAAGAAAGGCAGAGTCCACGTCTCCTCTTCTTTTTCTGTCCCTTTGGTCCACAGCACGTTGCTGAGCACACACAGACACTGTCTGTGAGGTGGGGCCCACTCTTCTGGCGGAGACAGCTGGGGCCTTATTGATACGCTGGGCAGATTTGCCTGCTCTGGCTGGCCAGGCAGGAAATGTTCAATGAATAAGCGAATCCTTGTTTTTTACGTTCTTTGGTGAATGACAATATTTCTTTTGTCATAATCCCTCAAAAAATATAAAGAATGTAGATGTGGTTGATGGGGAAGCATCTAAAACCCAGGCAGGCTTTCACTGACTCAGGGTTAGGAAACCACATTGGTCTTCCTGGTGGGACATGAACTAGCTCAATATCATTGACTCTAAAGCAATAGCCTGCTATGGACTTAGAAGCTTGGCGTTTCAGTTTGTTCTCTTTCTATGGAACTGCAGATATTTCTGTGAACTGATAATATTGACTTGAAAAATAGGAACATTAAAGTTAGTTGGGCAATGTTTGCCTCTTTTTAAAATCAACTTTATTCAGGTAAGTCTTATATACAATAAAATGCACCTATTTCAAGTGTATTTTATAATAAGTTTTGACAAACTTATGCATGCACACAGTTACTGCAACAATCAAGATATAGATACTGTGCTGTCCAGTACAATAGCCACTAACCACATGTGGCTATTTCAAGTCTAATGAACTAAAATGAACTAAAATGAAAAACTTCCTCAGTTTTGCAAGGTGTGTTTCAAATCCTCAGTAGCCACATGTGACTGATATTCAGCATATTGGACAGTGCAAATGAAAGACATTTTCACCATTGCAGAAAGTTCTGCAGTGTCGGACGGTGATGAAACCAAATCTATCCATCCTACCAAAAGGCTCCTTCGTGCTCTTTCTCAAAAAATCACCAACCCCTACCCCTGGCCTTAGGAAATCACAGGTCTAATTTTTGTCACTACGGATTAGATTCCTGCCTTCTGAGGGTTCATACAGAAGTCCTCTTTATTTGCCCGGCTTTCATTCAGCATGTTTCTGAGGTTGATCTGCTCATGTTGTTACATGTCTAATTTGTTCACTCGTTTTCTTTGCTCAATAGTATTCCGTTGTATAAGTAGACCACAATTTACTTATCTCCTCAGCTGTTGATGACGTTTTGGTTGTTTCTAGTTGGCACAATTACGAATAAAGAAATTAGTTTTTCATATGCATGTATGTTTTCATTGTTTTTTTTTTTGGGTAAATACCTGTTGCGGGAAGTCAGGGACCCTGAACCGAGGGACCAGCTGAAGCCGCAGCAGAAGAACATAAATTGTGAAGATTTCATGGACATTTATTAGTTCCCCAAATTAATACTTTTATAATTTCTTATGCCTGTCTTTACTGTAATCTCTGGACATAAATTGTGAAGATTTCATGGACACTTACCACCTCCCCAGTGAATATCCTTGTGATTTCCTATGCCTGTCTTTAATCTCTTAATCCCGTCATCTTCTTTGTAAGCTGAGGAGGATGAATGTCGCCTCAGGACTCTGTGATTGTGTCAACTGCACAAATTGTTTGTAGAGCATGTGTGTTTGAATATGAAATCTGGGCATCTTAAAAAAAGAACAGGATAACAGCGATGTTCAGGGAACAGGAGAGGTAACTTTGAACTGGCCGCCGGTGAGCTGGACGGAACAGAGCTATATTCCTCCGCTTTCATAAGCAAATAGGAGAAATTTCGCTGAATTCTTTTTCTCAGCAAGGAACATCCCTGAGAAAGAGAATGCGCCCTGAAGGTAGGCCTATAGACAGCGTCCTGTCTTTTATGGTCGAAGTCAATGAGATGAAATAAGCCTCGGTCTCCTATGCTGCTCCCAGGCTTACTAGGATGGGAAAATTCCCACCTAATAAACTGTGGTCAGACAGGTTACCTGCTCTCAAACACTGTTTCCTGATAAGATGTTATCAATGACAATGTGTGCCCGAAACTTCATTAGCAATTTTAATTTTGTCTCATCTGGTGGTCCTGTGATCTCGCCCTGCCTCCTTTGCTTTGTGATATTTTATTACCTTGTGAAGTATGTGATCTCTGTGATGCACACCCTATTCGTGCACTCCCTCCCCTTTTGAAAATCGCTAATAAAAACTTGCTGGTTTTACGGCTTGGGGAACATCACGGATCCTGCCGATATGTGATGTCTCCCCCGGACACCCAGCTTTAAATTTCTCTCTCTTGTGCTCTTTCCCTTTATTTCTCAACCCAGCCGAGACACTTGGGAAATAGAAAAGAACCCACGTTAAACATCGGGAGCAGGTTCTTCCGATATTACCTATGATTGGGATTGCTGGGTTATGTTGAAAGCATATGTTTAACTTTATTAGAGGTTACTAAACCATTTTCTAAAATGATTGTACCATTTTACACTCCTACCAGCAATGGAGGAGAGTTCCATTCTTACCAATTATTACTGGTTTTGTTTTGTTTTGTTTGCTTGTTCTATTAATTACTGAGAGATGAGTGTTGAAATCTCTACCTATCAATATAGATTTTCTATTTGTCCTTTCAGTTATATCAGTTTCTGCTTCATGTATTTTGAGACTTTGTGATTGGTACACACACATTTAGGAATGTTTGTTTTGTCTTTTTTATGAATTGATCCCTTTATCATGAAATGCCTCTCTTTGCCCTTGTTCTGAATTCTACTTTGTCTGTTAATAATATAGCTGCTCTGACTTTTTAAGGAAAAAAATTAGAATGTGCATAGTACATCTCTTTCTAGCCCCTTGTTTTTAATTTATCTGTGTATTTTTATTTAAAGCGAGCATCTTTTAAATAGCATATATTTGGTCTTGCATTTTAAAATCCAGGCTGAGAATCTCTAACTTTTAATGGGAGTGCCTAGGCCATTTACTTTGAAAAAATTAATGAAGAATAAACTGCACATATTTAAAGTGTACAATCTGAAGAGGTTTGGCATGCATACACCTGTGAAACCATCACCACAATCAAGACGGTGGACATTGCTTTCATTCCCAAGTTTCCATGGACTCCTTTGGAATCCATTCCTTCCACCATTTCTCTCTAGACAAGCACTTATGTACTTTTTGTCCCTATAGATTAGTTTGAATTTTGTAAAATTTTGTATAAATGGAAACATAGCATATGTATTCTTTTTGTCTTGTTTCTTTTTTGCATCATAATGATTTTGAAGTTCATTCATGTTGGCTATTTGTTGCAATATTTTTCCTTTTGATTTCTGTGTACTATTCCATTGTGTGGATATACCACAGTGATTTTATTCATTCACATAGATGAACAAACATTTGGGTTCTTTCTAGCTTTTGCTATTACAAATAGTGCTGCTATAAATATTTTTATGTAAGTCTTTGTATGGACATATGCTTTTATTTCTTTGGGGTAAATACCTAGAAGAGAAATTGTTAGGTCATAGGGTAGACATAGATATAACTTTTCAGGAAATTGCCAATCTGTTTTCCACAGTGTTTGTATCATTTAACATTCTTACCAGTAATGTACAAGAGCTATGTTTGCTCCCCTTTCTTGCACCAACACGGGGTATCATTAGTCTTTTTAATTTTAGTGATTCTATTTGGTGTGGTGTTTATTTACTTTTTCCATTTACCTACATATGTCTTCTTTTATGAAGTTTCTTCTCCAAATTTTTGCCATGTTAAAAAAATTTAGTTTTTTGTCTCCTAAGTCTGATATAAGTCCTTGGCTGATAGATGTGATGTATTTTCTTCCATTCTCTGGCTTGACTTTTGGTTTTTTAATGGTATCCTCAGAAGAATAAAAGTTTTAAATTCTGACGGAGTCCAATATATCATTTTTTTTCTGAGTTAAGTTTTTAAAGTGTTTCAAATATGGAACTTTTGTCTACTTAAGATAACAAAGATTTTCTCCTATGTTTTCTTCTAGGAGTTTTAAGTTTTACATTTAGGTCTGTGATCCATTTGGGTTAATTTTTTGGGTAGAACGTAAGGCACGTATTCATTTTATTTCATAGATCTAGATGTTCCAGCACCATTTTTTTTTCAGAAGACTTTCATTCCCTTATTGAAGTGCTTTGACATTTTGTCAAAAATAAGTTAATGCTTATATGTGTGGGCAAAGTGGTACATGATACATTTAAATAATTTGCCTGTAAATCTCAGTGGGATACCTGAATGAAAGAGTGAGCAACCATTAAAAATGATAATTACATGGTTACAAATCTCTTGTTTTCATTAAATACAGTTTGCTTTAAATTATTTCTTTATGACTATTCCAAAATAAATAGAAAAATTTTCTTATGGCCGGGCATGGTGGCTCAAGCCTGTAATCCCAGCACTTTGGGAGGCCGAGACGAGCGGATCACGAGGTCAGGAGATCAAGACCATCCTGGCTAACACGGTGAAACCCCGTCTCTACTAAAAAATACAAAAAACTAGCTGGGCGAAACCCGTCTCTACTAAAAAATACAAAAAACTAGCTGGGCGAGGTGGTGGGCGCCTGTAGTCCCAGCTACTCGGGAGGCCGAGGCAGGAGAATGGCGTAAACCCGGGAGGCGGAGCTTGCAGTGAGCTGAGATCCGGCCACAGCACTCCAGCCTGGGCGACAGAGCGAGACTCCGTCTCAAAAAAAAAAAAAATTTTTTTCTTTGATTCTAAAAACCACGTGACTGGTAACATCCATATTATGAAAACAAATCATCCTACACGTTACTGAATGTGTGGGTTTTTTGGGGGAACACAAGCCTTGTTCCAGATATTTGAATTAGGTAGTGTTCACAGGTTCCAGAATTTTCTTTGAATGCAAATACACTTGGAAGTGACACATATACAAAAAAAAAAAAAAAACCCTCAATTTTCCTAAAAAAATCCAGACCTATAGCATTGCTAAAATAATCGTAATTTAACTTTTTATACGAGGAGTACCAAAGTAAGCCAATATTTAATTCTGTGACAGAGGAGTATGAAAAAGAAAACCCAGTGGCTATGAAAACAGAGATCTAAAAATTTAATGATTTAAAAATAGCCTCTACATACAAGATGGCAAAGAGTAATACAGATTGAACATTTTGGTTTTAAAAATGTGAAATGTCTCTACTTAGCGTAGATCAATCAAGTCAGCCATCTTCTAAGAAATACACATTATACAATGAAATCTACAAAGACGCACTTTAAACTTCAAGTGTTGTTGATTTTCAGCAACCCTCTTCCCACATAAACATTTCCTTGTCATGTAACTTATGACTTTTAGTCTTCTTTTGGCAGAGTAGGACTTTGAGAATTGTAATAGCAGTGGTTTTGAAAAGCACCTTCTATGATCATTTATTTCCACTGTTTTTTTTTTAGTCACTCTGAGATGCATTCTTGTTTTTTAAATCCTTTTCTGTTCCAATGATTTGGTTGTTTAAAACAAGCAAGCTTAATTCAGCCAGGCATATATTGCAATTAAAAACATGTTTCCAAATAGGCTAGAATAAAAATGCTAAATAAGAATTGGACCAAAATATCATAGATAATGTGCTTTTTCTCTTGGTAATATGTAAATACGTTTACCCATGGGGTAGAAGTATTTCGCTTGCCCCATGAAGAACATGATGGCTTGTGGTGTTTGTGCTATGTCAATACTAACAGGTGTGAGGAGACAGACTATAGAATGGATACTGTGACTACCTGTGAGATAGTGGTAGGGGTTATACACATCGGCCACAGGAAATTGTAAAAATTAGATGGACGCTGTGTGGCTAGCCACTCTTGAGTGTCAGGTCTGCATATGTGAGTTTTAAAGAAGGTGCAAGACAGCAATAAATTCCCTTAGAGAGCAGGATACATCCTGGTAGCTCTGTAGTTCCATGATCAAGGACCTGGCCAGTTTCCCTCAGGTAATGGGGGTAGTAGCACCAAAGTGAATATTAAGAGTCAGAAAGGCCTCTACTTGTAACTGGCGGATCAAAGCATTCCCCTGTTTTGGTGAACAATCATAGTCTGATACGCCTTTGTGAATCCTTGCTGCAAATATGGTTTTTACAACTCTAAAAACATCTTTTGGAAAACCTCATGACTGAATCACTCACAAATGCAGAAGATCGAACAGCCCCAGGCAGGCAATTGCCCTCCTTTTATTGTAGCTGTCTCTCAGTATTGAAACAATCCAATCCTAACTGTGGTCCTGGTCTCTAAACACACAGGTCTCTCCTCCCTCCAGCACCTGAACTGTCAGAGCTTGGATTCACATACATATTCTGAAATTTGCTCTGCAAAAGGGCTTTTGGGCACTTGGCCATCATGTGTTTAAGATGATCAATTTTGAAAAGAGTTTTCAAAACAAGAATAAGTCGTGCTATGTCTCATGATTTGGAAGGTGAACATTTGCAAATATACTCTACTTCTCAGATTTGGGAGTGCCAGGCTCAGAATCACAAGGACATGGAGAACAATATTATAACCGGCTGGTATGTTTTTAACAACAACAACAAAATGCAGCATTAGAAGGTGCTTACTAAGGTGCTTCTTAATTCATTTTTTTTTTTAATGAAATGCATCAGACAAACATCTACAAACAAACATGAATACACAGGCATACAAAAGCACGTGGACAAGTCTCTGTACAGTCTATGTCTTAGATACTTCTATGTATACATAAGAACCACTCGGGGGAAAAAAAGATTTCCCTCTCCAGCTCCCTGAATTTCTGAAAGTTGTCTAACCCTTAAAATGTTAAAATATTCCATTTTCATATAAAATATCTACAAAAATAGATAATTTACAAAAACCAGATAGTATTTCCAGTTTTCCTTAGTAACCATTAACGCAGTCCCCTTCTTCTTTTTTTCTTCTCAGAACGTTGCCATTTCCAGCAAAGAGCGCTTGAACAGCTGGGCATTTCTAGAAAGGTCTGTCACTTGGTGCACCATTTCCTGCAGGGCCGTGGTACTCGGGTAATGGAGGGCGGCCATCTTGGTCGCCATGACTATAGTCTTGAGCTGCTCGCAGAGCTGATTGCTGGAGTTCATGACTTTGTTGCGAATGTCCTGGGCAGTCACCTGCCGTGTCAGCGTGTCTCCAATGAACACCAGTTTGTGTGCACTAAGGATGACAAACTTGCTGTGTGCCACGAAGATTCGCGGGGGCTGGGCTGAGCTGACACAACTGAAGAGCGCGTCAATGGCGTTGAGAAGGGAAATGAAATGGGTCTCACATTGGTCATAGTAGAAGCACAGCAACTGTCGATCCTGCGCACTCACGCCACCGTTTGTGGTGGGTAGGCTCTGAGAGGGCTTCCACTTCGAGATGTCATTCTCCACGGGCTTTGTAATTTCTTGTTCCAACAGCTGGAACTGGCTCAGCTGCAAGGAAGGCGAAAGTAGATCTCATTAGAGCAAGGGAATGTGTTGCAATGGAAATTAACCAGGGCTTGGAGTTAAAAGACAGGGATTTTAGTCCCTAATAACTGTTAGATGCATGTGAGCTTTGCAACCTGGGTCAAGCTGCCCTGCTTTCCTAAATTGTAAAATGTACACGTTGGGAAAGATGATCCTCAAGCTTAGACCTTTTATGATTGGACCACTGGTCTCTCGTAACCTCAGGCTAGAAGGCAGTATAGGGTTTAAACCGCAGCCCTGTTACCCATACCTTTTTGGAGGTAAAATAGTTAACGTTTACAAAGTGCTTAGAATAGTTTGGTATGTAATAGGCTCTATGTAAATGTTTATTAATGTTGAGTGGTGGCAAGGGAAAACCATATGTAGTGACCTGCTTGTCAAGTAAGTCCCTGACAGTTTGCTCCTTCTCGGAGAAAGCCTCGACTATCTCAGGATGCTCAGATGAAACGGCCATTCATGACCCCTTTCTGTTTATCCTACTCTTTCTGTCAAGATTGATAGACATGTTATGATCCAGCGCTACAGGAAGATTAATGCATATAAATATATGAGCACTTAAGGAAAAAAAAATTTCTAAAGAAGTCTGAGTGGGAATTGTGCATCATAAGATTTAGTCCCCCAGAGCTGTTAAAACAAGGGGGTCTCACCCAGAGTCAGATGTATCAGGTGCTGGCTTTCTTCCTTCTTTCCTCATTGCTCCCAAATGGTATATTATTTAAATTGCAATATAATAATTTCTGGGGATTCCACTAAGACTCAGGAGAGACCTCTCTTCTGCAGGTAAGGACTATCTGTGACCTGAGCTTAGGACTCAGTTAATCTCCTACTTGGAGGTAGAGATGAGCTGGAGCAGTGATCACCTCACCCAGCTTCTCTGAGAAATGCATAGCCAGCTTTACTTTTCTAGAATCTGTTTTCTTCTTAGGGATTGCTATGGTTTCAACAAGTTCCCCAAAGCCCTGCAGTCTTACCTTGCCAGATGCCAAGGCAAACAAACAGGTACAGGGTGATATTCCAAGATATTTAATCATAATGGATTATATTTTATATATCTTAGGCTTTATGCAAATATGTTCATCAATGTGTCAACCATTAGATGGGCAAGGGGTACTTTCCCATTTTATAGAGTAGTAACTGAAGCTTGGGGAGGTTACCTCACTTGACATAGTTGGTTGGCCAGAAATGATTAGAACTCAGATTTTCTAAATACAGCATGCCATTTAATGTCATTACATGCCATTTCACTTCATTTCATCTTGAAAGGCTTGTAAATAAATCCTCAGTCCATCTCTCTTTATTTTTATGCCCTTGTCCTACCAATACTCATCATTATCTGCCCTACTCATACCCAACTTTTGAGTGAACATGCCCTGCCCAAAGTCCTCAGTAGATGGGCCTGGATATATGTTGAAAACATTGAATTCTGCTCTCGTACCCTTAGATTGGACCAGAGAGAGAGAGAGCATAGGCTTGTGTTGTTGGCGAGAGAGAGGTAGAGACACACACGCACAGAGAGAGAGAGAGAGAGAGAGAGAGAGAAAGAGAGAAATGGCCCAATCAAAATGGCCCAATCAGACTCTTCCTTAGGAATCTGATGAACAAGAGAAGGGAGCTAACCATCAGAAGGGGAAGCTGAGATGAGAAGCCATCTATAGAAGTTCTGAGTGGCCATTTATGGGTTCTGCAAAGTTACAGGGGAGCCAAATGAGTAGATAAGCAGAGAAAACCAGAAAATAGGGGAGAGTGAACAGATTTATAGGAAAAAAGCAAAGGAAGTACAAGAAGGAGAGAGAATGTACAGTTCTAGTCCTCACCAGACCTGGCTATATCTTCATTTTCTGTTACTGAATTCCCCTCCTATGACTTTACTGTAAACTTGCTTGCTTAGGCTAGCTTGAATGGGTCTTGTTTCTTGAGACCAAATGCCTTAACCCAAGTAGTCCTCATATGTTAGATACGCAGGTTTAGCCTTTAAAAAATTGCTGTTTAGATGTAACCCAGGTACACCCAGATGAACTAGCAAGGTCATAAACCTTCTCTTTGCTTTTAAACCCCATTCCGTACTTTAGAGCTGATTCTTGCCAGTGAGCTGGAAGAATCGAAATCATAATCTCTTGAAGTTACAACTCTCCTTAGTACTAGGTGGGAAATCTTTCCAACAGCAAGCAGCTTTTGCTCTGATTGAACTTACCTGATGATGTTCCAGCTGCATCTTGTTTTGTTTCATGATATTCTCTTTTTCCAATAGCTCTTTCTGTTGCCTCTCGAACTCCTCCTTACCCTGTTAATTTTCAACATAAAGAACATTATTATGTCATCACTGTGATTCACTTATGCTAACAATTTCATTGACAGATGAGTAAATACTCTTTATTTTCCACTGCCTTGGCAACATCTCAAATGCTCAGTGAGGCACTGTGAACCCTAGACAGGGGTGGCAGAAAAATAAAGCCCATTGCCATATAGGGTGCCAGCTTTCTGGGGCATCTTACAGTTTTCAGAGAGCTACTCATGATTCCCTTAAAATCTCCTATATAAATGTACTACTTCTCTGAGTTCTTTTCTCATAGATTGTATGTGAACCCGTAAACCCCCAAACACAGGTCTAAATGTGGTCCACCTCTCACTTCCAGTTCCCTCAAATCATCTATAGATTTCTGCTCCAAGGCAGTATTTCCCACTGTGCAGAGTCAGACAACGAGTAAGGTGAATGTTCAATGCCTCCATCCTGTCTCTCCACTCCCTCCCTCAGCACCAGGTGAGGCTCAGTTCTCCTTGCCACACTTTCTCGCGCTCAAGGGAATTTGGCATAATAGTTACATAGTTCTCAGTATAATTTGTGACTCTCAGTCTTTTTTTTTTTATGGCAGAATAAGATAGTAAGCCTAGTCCTAAATAATGGATCTTGGTAGATTTTTTTTTTTGAGATGGAATCTCGCTGTGTCACCCAGACTGAAGTCTAGTGGCGCAATCTTAGCTCACTGCAACCACCGCCTCCCAGGTTCAAGCGATTCTTCTGCCTCAGCTTCCCAAGTAGCTGGGACTACAGGCATGCACCGCCACACCTGGCTAATTTTTGTATTTTTAGTAGAGACGGAGTTTCACCATATTGGCCAGGCTGGTCTTGAACTCCTGACCTTGTGATCCACATGCCTCAGCCTCCCAAAGTGCTGGGATTACAGGTGTGAACCACCGCCCCCGGGCCACTGTGCCTGGCCAGTAGAATGTTTTAATCCCTCAAAGTGGAAGGGAAAGCTGTTGGAATCCCAGGTCAGCTTGGAGCTTGGTGGAATTCCCAATTGTAGGATGCCAACTGTGATTGTCCAATGTCCCATACACAGATTAAACTCCTAAGACAACTACACACACACACACACACACACAGGAAAGTCTGAGATGGGGCTAAGTTTTAAAGCAATTATACACACACACACACACACACACACACACACAGAGTAGGGCTTTTTTTTTTCTTAGAAATTCTTTAGTGCAAAGGTTTTCTATTTTTCTTAATGATGAAAACTTTTTTTTTCAAATAAACTATTATATGCAACTATACCTAAAACACAAATAGAAGTAGAGGTGGTAATATCATTAGAGGGCCTATTATCCTACTTGGTGAGTCTCCTCTTACCTGCGGTATCAATGGGATCTAATCCAGCCCCTTACACCATTCATTTTGCAAATGAGGAAATTAAGGCCCAAGGAGGTTGAATAAGTTGGTCACACAGTAAATGTCAGAGAAAGGGCTAGAGCTGAGTGAGTACTCAGGACTCTCAGTCCAGCGTTCTTCCTACTCTACAACACTCCCTCCAATTTGTGAACCATGTGGATTAACATTAATCGTGTGCTGTCCTTTGGTAGTCCAACCCGACATCCTTACAGGCATCTGTCTCAGGCTCCCTGCATGTGAGTGAGCGTAGGTGTTTTATGAGTTCGGCTGTTTTACCTGTAGGTGGACATAATCGTAGTCATCCATCCAGCTCCTCTCAGAACCATCACTGCTGCTACAGTCAGGGGCCTGCTCCTTGCTCAGGCCTGGGGGCAGTGCCTTGTTGTGGGCCTGGGCCTTGTGGTCACCAGGATGCAGCAGCTGCCCCTGGGAGCCACCGTGTGGGTACTCCGTTGAGTTCATGATGCTCTCCGGCCCGTTCTTCAGATGCAAGCTGCCAGGGCCGGGTCTGAAGAGGGCCTCTGCATTGGTGTTGATGGTTGTGGTGAGCTGCTTGGCGTCATCGGGCACCGTCTTTGCCACCATCACAAACCGGTCCAGATCGTCACACTTGTTCTGGGGCTTGTTGATGGCCAAGATATTCAGGGACCAGCTGCACTCATTTAAGTCGTGGCTGGTTTGACTCAGAATCTGGTGGGAATCTTCGACTCGCTGCAGCTCCCGCTTCATCTTGTTGTGGAGGACAAGTTCCGGGAGGCAGGCAGCATTTGCAACAGCTCCCTTAACAAAGTGGAGGTACTCCTTCAGGAACAGCTCCACCTTGTCCACCGCCGTGCGTATCTCGTTGATGTGTCTTTCCATATATCCGTAACACCGCCAGTCGGTGGTGATCAGTGCCATTAGGCTGGAGACACCCATCTCCAGGGCCTGCTGAAGCCGCTGAAGTCTCTCGATAGCTGTGTCTGGATCCAGTAAGAGCCTTTTGTCCTGAGCTGGGGAGGCTGACAGTGAGGACTCCTTGGAGGAGGTGGACGACGTGGACATGTTACTCCGGGTGCTGCCTGTACTGGAGAAAGACAATCGGTTGATCCCATCCACCAAGTCCCGAGAGCCTTTAGCATCCGGCGGGTTATGCAGAGGGACATCATAAACACCATCCCTTTCTTGGGGGTTTGCTTTCTCACTGGTTTCTGCTGGTGGCTCAAGAAACTGAACGCCTCGGGGGACGTCATATGCGTCGTTGTGAGAGCCCACTGACTGTCCCAGTTGCGGGGGTGGGTGATTCGGGGACAGGCTCTGGTGCCGTCGAGCTACGGGTTCTGCAGCTCCTGGAATGTCACAGTTGTATTTTACATGAAGGTCCTTTCCTGCTGGCTTGGCGCTGGTTGGGGGAATGTCATAAACCCCCTCAGGTCTGAGGTCTGCCCTTCCAACTTGTCTCATGGGAGGGGGGAAGTCATAGTCCTTTTCCCTAAGCCCTGCTTCATCCCGGCAAGCAGAGGGTGGAATGGCATATACCTGAAAAGCGAGTAGAAAGCGAAATGCTATTTATTGTGTTGGCTCATGGGAGCATGCGGTCCCATGTGCTCAGTCCTATTTACTGGCACTTTTTCGGTCGCCTTCCCCCGCCCCCCATGTTAGGCACTTCCAAGGTTCCCCGCTATTCTGCTGCCACTTCCCTTGTCCTTTGACAAGTGTGTCCACCCACATGTTCTTGGTGTAGACTTGCGTGTGCAACCCTGCTGGTTAAATTGCTCACCCCTGTGTTCCAGTCCTACATTTCTGACCACTTCCTGGGTATCCTTTCTCTGCTGATCTGTGCCAAGCAGCAGAGTAACACCGGAGGTCTCCCCTGGTCTCTTCGGTTATTACATCAGCTGTGTGATGCTGAATGAGCTGCATAGGTGTCTGAAACACAGTCCCCTTGTCTGTAAAGTAGGGATTACCGTGCTCTGTGCAGGCATACCCCAGAGGGTAACAGAGTGAGTCAAACGAGTTCACCCAAACATACAGACTGAGAAAACTGTCAAACCCTCTACAGGCCAGGCGTGGTGGCTCACGCCTGTAGTCCCAGCACTTTGGGAGGCCAAGGTAATAGGATCACTTAAGCCCATGTGTTCAAAAACAGCCTGGGCAGCATAGGGAGATGCTGTCTCCACAAAAAATAAAATTAGCCAGGCATGGTGGCATGCACCTGAGGTCACAGCTACTTGGGACGCTGAGGTAAGAGGCAGCTACTTGGGAGACTGAGGTGGGAGGATTGCTTGAGCCTGGGAAGTCAAGGTTGCAATGAGCTGTGATTGCACCACTGCACTCCAGCCTGGGTGACAGAGCGACACCCTGTCTCAAACAAAACATAACAAAACAAAACAAAACAAACCCTCTACAAATATATATTAGTACTTGCCAAACTAATTATCTTCCCTGCCAAGGGTTCTCCTTATTGGCCTCCCAATGTTTTTTAGTTGCGGCTCCTCAATATGAAATCCCTAGAGCTATCTTTAATGAGCCTTTCCTTTTTTGCTTCCTTCCTTTACTCTCACCAAGACTACATTTTCCCCTTTTGGGTTTGCCTTTCTTGTTTTATTCCAATAAACTACTTACCCACCCTCCTCCCGACCCCATGCCCCTCGACACACAGACGCACACACACTCACACTCCTTTTTGCTGCTTTGTAGTCACTCACTTACCCCTTTTGTAGGCGGGATGTCATACACCCCTTGAGGTTTTATCTCTCCCACTGGAACTGAAAACACAGGGCCTTTCACTGATGAGGGAGGGATGTCGTATACCTGGAGAGAAACCCATGAGTTACCCAGAATGGAAATGTCTTATACTTGTCATTTTTATGCTCCTAAGCGCTTAATTATGGATTTATTTACCAGATTGTGTACAAGCTTGATCTTTAGCAGTGCTCCATGTTATAACAAATTGATTACCTTTTTTTTTTCTTTATACATTTTGTGGTTTTTAACTTAGACTGAATATAAAAATGATTTTGGCCAGGCGCGGTGGCTCACACCTGTAATCCCAGCACTTTGGAAGGCTGAGGGGGGCAGATCACGAGGTCAAGAGATTGAGACCATCCTGGCCAACATGGTAAAACCCCATCTCTACTAAAAATACAAAAATTAGCTGGGTGTGGTGGCGCACGCACCTATAGTCCCAGCTACTCGGGAGGCTGAGACAGGAGAATCGCTTGAACCCGGGAGGTGGAGGTTGCAGTGAACCAAGATCGAAAAAAAAAAAAAAAGCCCGGTGACAGAACGAGATTCTGTCTCAAAACAAAACAAAACAAGAAAAAAAAAAAAAAGATGATCTTACGTGAAATATCTACACTGCCTGTACGTTAAAGTGTAGTTTAAATTTTCTACTTTCCGGCTGGGCGCGGTGGCTGACGCCTGTAATCGCAGCACTTTGGAAGGCTGAGGTGGGCAGAACACTTGCGGTCAGGAGTTCAAAACCAGCCTGGCCAACATGGTGAAACCCTGTCTCTACAAAAATACAAAAATTAGTCAGCTATGGTGGTGTGTGCACCTGTAGTCCCAGCTACTCGGGAGGCTGAGGCAGAGGCAGGAGAGTTGCTTGAGGCTGGGTGACAGAGGTTGCAGTGAGCTGAGATCGAGCCACTGCACTCCAGCCTGAGCAACAAAGTAAGATTTTGTCTTAAAAAAAAAATTCTACTTTCTGAAGTAAAATTGTAGAACATAAGCTCTCTTGGGTGAAATACTAGGATTTCCTGATAAAGCAAATCCAGAAAACATAATTTAAATAGCATTGGCTAAAGTGGCTACTGGATAGACAACCTAAATAAAGCTTTATATGATGTATATTAATACATAATTTGTGAACTCCATTTTCTCTACAGCCCTGAAGGAACGCTACCCTTAGAAGCTCTTCTCCTCTTGTGACCTTGTTCTGGTACGCACCCCTTGAGTGGTATGGGAAGGAGGGATATCGTAGACGTCCTTTTGGTATCGGGATGGGTACTCGTATACGTAGCCATGGCCTGTCCTTACGGGGGTTATCACCTGTGGGAGAGAAGGCACAAAGATATAAATTTCCAAGCCTGAGTCATTGAATCTCCTTGCCTGCTAACCAAGTACTCATCACTCAACTCTCCCTCATAAAAAGATAGAAAGAAACTGAAGAAATGAGACACAACAGGAAGACAAGTAGACACCAGGTCAGTAAACTTTTTTTTTTTTTGAGATGGAATTTTGCTCTTGCTGCCCAGGCTAGAGTGCAATGGCACGATCTCAGCTCACTGCAACCTCTGCCTCCCTGGTTCAAGTGATTTTCCTGCTTCAGTCTCCTGAGTAGTTGAGATTACAGGTGCGCGCCAACACGCCCAGCTAATTTTTTTGTATTTTTAGTAGAGACAGGGTTTCACCATGTTGGTCAGGCTGGTCTCGAACTCCTGACCTCAGGTGATCTGCCCACCTCAGCCTCCCAAAGTGCAGGGATTATAGGCGTGAGCCACTGCGTCTGGCCCAGGTTAGTAAAATTTTAAATCCCTCTTGAATCCCAATGAGAAACATATCCCTAAAATATCTCTGTCACCCTTCCTTGTGATCATCTCAGAGTTCATCAGATAGAGTTGATGCACTGTAAGCGTATTTCTAAAATATACTTTAAGGGATACTTGCGTGTAACTTATGAAAGTCCTACAGGAGCATTTTGCATGTAAAGTACTGCATACTGAAATTTGCTTTAAGGTTCTGAAACGATTTGTAAAATGAATAATGCAAATGGAGTTCAGCCACTTAAAATTCCTCTCATGCCTTCCTCAGTATGCCTCTTCATTGGACATTATGATGATGATTATAACTGTAATTCCACAGCTCACCAGAGTACTTTTACAAAGCCAATGCTCCAACTGTGCTATCCTTAGAAACCTCTGGGAGCTTTCGATCTAACTTATCAAACAAACAAAACACTGAGCCAGGGAGGCACCGGGAACAGAGTTCAGATCGCCTGACCTCTGGTCTCTAATCATTTTCCCATTTCCACCAGGAAAGAAAACATCCCCAACAGTACCTACGTCAAGGGATGTCAGAAGTCAAATAGCGTTCATCACCATGCTGGCATCTGGAACCAGTGCCAGTAAAATGAATCTTACCTAACAGCCTCCTGTTTTTCATATCTACATATTTCATTGGTGTGCTAAGCACCAGCAAAAAATTATTTGAACTTAACTCATTTGGAAACATATGTAATCCTCCAAGGGCTTCTAAATGCGCGGGTCTTGTTTCTGCCTAACCCCCACCCGTCAGGTCATTAACAGTGCCCATGTCAAGCATTACCCACAACATCTTTGAAGAGACCAGACATTGCAAATTAGGAAGAGTTGGTTGTTCCCTAAGAAACCATCAACTTGTTATCCTTTCTCTGAAGTGAAAACTCTGGCGTCAGGCTGCCTACAAAACTATGTGAAAAATGCTCCACGTCCGTCTTATGCTGAAATGGGTGGAACTCAGCCAAATGCACCAATGCCCTTCTCCCCAGGGGCTCTAAAAATGCCTGAGTTCAATTTGGCTTTAAATCCCTAGTGCTTACAACTGATTATTTCTTGCAGTGAAGGTAAAGGAGATTAGTATGCACTCAAAATTTCCATTAAGTCTCTCCACTGTCTTGGGTTTAAAAAAGGAACCTATTGCTTTGAGGTCTGTTGGCATGGACCTCATGGAGCATACAGAACCACTTTATAGAGTGGCCACTGTATTGTGCATAGCAAACTTTCCTTTTTAAAGCAGGATGCCCTTTGCTAAAGAAAAACACACTGTGTTCCTAATGCCCTTATATGATTTTTTTTTTATACTCACTATTGTCCAGGAGAGAAATGAAGATCTCCCCTTAGTCTATTTCACCAGCCCCTCTACTTAGAGGACTATTTTGGCTTTATCATAGCACCTGCTCATAGTGCAGCTTTTGTTCAGCTTAAAAGTTTCCAAGAGTGGATTTTATCCAACGTTGCCAACTTAGCAATAATGCTAATGGAAAACCAAGGCTGGTTATGCTGAAGTCCAACTTAACTGTTCCTCTTTCGTTTAAAAAACAGAAGGGGGCATGTCGGGTGCAGTGGCTCATGCCTGTAATCCCAGCACTTTGGGAGGCTGAGGCAGGAGAATCACTTGAATCCAAGAGGCGGAGGTTGCAGTGAGCTGAGATCGTGCCACTGCACTCCAGATCTGTGCAAAAAGAGTGAAACTCCATCTCAATAAACAAACAAACAGGCCAGGTATGCTGGCTCACACCTGTAATCCCAGCACTTTGGGAGGCCAAGGCGCATGGATCACAAGGTCAGGAGATTGAGACCATCCTGGCTAACACGGTGAAATCCCGTCTCTACTAAAAATACACAACATTACCCGGGCGTGGTGGCGGGCGCCGGTAGGGGAGGCTGAGGCAGGAGAATGGCATGAACCTGGGAGGTGGAGCTTGCAGTAAGCCAAGATTGCGCCACTGCACTCCAGCCTGGGCGACAGAGAGAGACTGTCTCAAAACAAAACAAAACAAAACAAACAAACAAACAAAAAACCCAGAAGGGGGCTGGGAGCTAGAGTGGGTGGCATTGGTGTCTGAAAATAGCACTACGTGACATATAAACACATAGCACGACCTCAGAAAAGGAAGGCAGGGTCACCGCCAAAGTGTTTCCTTGCCTTTGTGGATCTTCCCTGGCAGAGAGCGCTAATGCTTCCCGGTATTTAACATTTCACTTCCTGACAAATGTCACAGAACCCCAACTTGCTCTCTCTTTCTCATTTAGAGGATGCCTGTGGTCATCTGGTTTTTTAAAACTCTGCATTCCAAACCAGTCATTTTCCTTGTTTATGCATTCAAAGAAACAGATGGTGAAAACCACAGGGAGAAAAAGCCAACTAGATACAGCAGCCCCTGCCCGCCTCCAGCCTTCCTAACATTACCATCTAATTCACGTTGGTCCACAAATGGCATTTAAATGGGACCAGCATTTTGCATCTGGTCAGACAAGTCCAGTGCAGCAATCCGCATTGTGACGTATGGAAGATCAGGGAGCTGGAATTATTCTACTTTTGGACATTCTCTGCCTCGACCTGTTGCTTGGGTCACTTTCATGCCAATTGTGTGTTCTCTCCTCAGAGGAAAAGTGCTGACTGAGCTGTACCTTACAAAGTCTCCAGTTTTGTGGTTCATTAAGGCTTTTTCTTGCTGCTTGACATAAGTACACAAAAACCTTCCTACGATCTCTCCTCATTCCACCTCCCAGAACTGCCGAACTTCAGTCTAAGAGGCACGCCAAGGTCTGGTTAAGGGGACCTCAAGTTTGGAAGAATTCTCCTAGGCATTTGTTCAGTGAGACATTAAAGGAACTGCTACACAAAGGACATTTTTTTTTTTTTTTTCTCAATGAAATCAAGTCAGGTTTTCATTTCCTTTCCCCCTCTGTTTGCTTTTTTTTTTTTTCCTCTACATTCCTTTCATTCTATGTATTTATTTATAGTTACAAAGGCTTAGCCTTTGGAATTACCAAACTGACCTCTTAATTCATTAGTGTTGCCGGGAAGGGGTCTAAATTGTGAGGTCTCCCGGGGCTCTATGACCCAAAGCTACTGCAACTATTTTAGTGATTACTCGGCACAGGATTTGCACTTTCCATATGTGGATTTTCTGTCCCTAGGAGGAATTCAACCTTTCTCAGATATTAGTATGCCATTCTCAGTAACTAACGGGAGGGTCCAAGACAGAGACTTTGAGAAGAGCTATGAAGTCAAGAAGGGCAGATTGCAGACATTTAGAAAAGGAAGAATCCATTTAATACATCTCCAAGTCTGGATCCCGGCAGGGTAGGATCAAAAGCCCAAAGACTGGCGTTATGTTAGTTTTCTAATTAATCTGCTTACATAAAAACAAGAAAACAAACTCGGATTGCCCCGCCCCACACTTTGATGGTGTTTGATCCACACTGTTTTGAGTCTCAGATCCTGGCGGCATGAGTTTTTGGAGATGCTTTTGACACTTTCATGCCTCATAATTTTGAAAGCCATGCGTGCTGAAATTTTAAAGAAGAGTGTCTGTGTTTGGGTAGCAGAGAGAGATAGGGAGGTCTGAGAACCAACATGATGACAGTCAGCAAGCTGGATGAGAGGCCCTTAGGGTTCTTTCTGATGTTTCTGCATCTGTGTTCTCTGAGCTGGTACCTATAGCAGAGCAAGGGTCCTATAGTCAGATGCCCGAGGACCGAGCAAGTAGGGTGTAGGGAAGAAACAAGCCAGGCTTGGGTGCTGGGGAGACAGAACCCCCTGCTACCGAAAGGAGGAAGACAGTTGTGCCTTGTGTTGCCAGATCTTTCATGTTTTCAGGAGAAGCCAGAAATTTGGAATTTTATGTGAAACCTGGTTTTCAAAATTGGCTTAAATTTTAAAAACAGGGTCTTGGCCAAACTAAACATGTCTTTGGCCTCTGGACTGCCAGTCTTTGCCTTCATCTGTGTATTTTTGCCCTCCTTCCTCTTGGAAATCCTCTGAAGGCAGGGTCCCCATGCTCTGCACCAACTCCCTTCCTCGGCGAGAACTGAGCTGTCCATTTCCACAGATGCCCTGCACGCCCACACCTCCGTGTCTTCATCCATGCCGTGTCCTTGTCTGAGACGCTCTTCTTTCTTTCCTCATATTCAAACTTGAATTGATTTTCAAGGCCTGGCTGAATGTCTTTCCCCCTATCAAGCCCTTCTCAAACAGATAATATGTCTCTGTCCTTGGAACTCCCTGAGCCAGTGATCCACACATCTCTAATGGCACTTAATCACTTGTGGTTTGACGGTCTCGATGCATCTCATCTCTTCTTCCAGCATTTTAAAGTCAAAGATCATTCCTTCTTCATTTAAATATAAACCACAGGGCCTAGTACAGTGTCCAGCACAGTAGATCTTGCATAACTCTATTGAGTGATACATTAATCAACCAAAGGAAAACTGAAGGCTATTAAGCAAGATGGCGTGAGGTCTGCCAATATAGAATAAGCTTGGTTTCCAGGTAAGCCAGCTCTG